GCACTTGTTTCTACTAGCTTCTTGTTACTACTAGTAAGGCACTTGTTACTAGTAGCGATGCCAGGAGCCCCTAGTAGCGTCCTTGCTCCGTTCGTAGAAATGCCCTTGTTACTAGTAGCTTCTTGCTACTAGTAGTAATGCCAGGAGCGCCCCTAGTAGCGTCCTTGCTCCCAAGAAGAGCTTGGCTTTGTTGGGCCATCGCGACCGCGGAAAGCGAAGGAGAAGCTTGATCTCAAGCGTGACATCCGAGAAACGCAGCTCGAAAATGAGGGGCAAGTGAAGATGCTCATTCAGGCGGATAGACGCCTTTCCCTTCACTTGACATTTTGAGACATTTTCCGTGGCTTCTTTTTAGCGATTTTAGTGTGACGACTGAAATGACTTTCGGCCAGGGCTTCGCCAAGCGCTTGCAGAATCTCCGGGATACCTTTGAGCAGAATCACCAGCAGTTGCAGGTGCTGCAGAAGCACCAGTCGTGCGTTGCCTTTGGCATCGTGAGTTGGAATTTGCTTTTTGGATTCTGCACACTCTCCCCTACACAGATGTCTACGTGGAAACTTGATAGAAACACTTATATAACAGCTATGGCTATTAGCAATTCATTCATTCTTTTCGTTCTATTTTTGCCTTTCTCTCTTCCGGTCTCGATGCTGAAGCTGTCGGCTTCTTGCTTCGAAACGCACACCGACTCTACAGGCTCAATACGAAGAGCAGGTGGAACAGCTGAAGATCGATCTCGAGCTCCGCCGGAAGGTGTGGCCGGAACAGAACAAGCGAACGGGGCCGAGCGTCGGCGGTGCGGAGGCTTATAAGTAAGCTAAACAGTAAGGGAGTAGCTAGTAAGATTCAAGCCTGAGCCTGAATGATCATGGTTCCTCGTTCCTAGATTCTTTTTTGGACTTAACAATACCTTGCTTGCACTTGTCAGAAGTTCCGATTACTTTGCTTCTTGTTGGAAGAACACATTCCCCATTTTTTTGAGCTCGCTTGAAACCAAAGAGGGAGGATTTCAATCAATCGTTGACGTCATGAAGCCGAATGTCCAGGTGGAAATCCACGAGATCGAAGAGCGAAAAAACCAGTGCGAAGCTCAACAACAGCAGTTCTGAGAAGTGTACCAAGGATGGCCCTAGGGACAGAAAAGAAAGGTCTAAAGGTCTTTTAACAAAAACATGCGGCGAAAGCAGTGCTTCCAAGTTTAAACAGATCACATAGACATCGACACAAATGCCTCCTGTCAAAGTGGCAGCGGAAGAGCCAGGCACATCAATGAGTTGCACTTCAACCACCAGGAGGCCTTTGATGAGATCAAGGCGATGGGGGTTATCGGGTCTTTTGGGGGATTGACTGCCAACTGGAGGAGGTAGCAAGACACTGGTAGCTAAGGGTAAGACTTGAGCTACCAAGAAACAGGAAGAGACCTGCATTCAAGGACGCAGAAGAACCCTTCGCATGGTGGACGCCGGACACCCTTCGATCTTTTTTGTGAAACTTCAGGCTGCCTTTATGGCTTCGAGCTCTGAATAGTAGCAAGGGGTGATACGAGGACATTCTGGAGCAAGACCGCCGGCACTAAGGTTGTTGTTAGTAAGAGGCACCCAAAACCAGCACCTGTTGATGGCAGAAATCCTGCACCACCTCTCTTAGAATTCCCAGCCTTCACAGTGCTTGTGTATCGCAGGCGGAGCATTTTCTTTTCCAAGTAGAAAGAACAGCCTTTGAAAGTGCCCAAAACGGAACACAGTCCAGAAGAGAAAGGTCAAAGGCCTTGAGACCTAAGGCCCACCTAAGACCATTGAAAGGCATTCCGCCGTAGCGTGTCCTTTCTTGTTTGGAAGACCGCAGTGCCCTGTCTGACAGGATTTGCCGTCCTTTTTTCTGTTTGCCTGTGACTGGTTCCAAGGCCTACTACAATGATATTACCCACGACAACCTCCAGTTGATCAAATCCTTGAAGGACACGACACCTCAGTTGGCTACCTTCAGCCATGCTGCCAAAATTTTGATATGATTCCAAGCACAAGCTTTTGACAACCAAGTCCATGTGCTCATTGCCTACACATTCTTCTCCGAAACTATTCTGAGACCCGCGGATTTGTTTCAAATTTCGCTACTAGGGTGGAGGCCATTCCTATTAGGTGCGGGCATCTACTAGTAGCAAGTGCATCGCTACTAGTAACAAGGGCATCGCTACTAGGAGCAAGGACGCTACTAGGGGCGCTCCTGGCATCGCTACTAGTAACAAGAAGCTTCTAGGTTCTATTGGAATGTGGCAAGAACGGCTGATTTGTTTCAACCGGGCGCAGGATGAGATCAATGAGATGAAGGAGAAGGTGGCCTGCTGAGCGCGTTTCCAGTTCCTACCAGACGCAGACGCGGCAGACGCGGCAGACGCGGCAGACGTGTAATGAGACACTTTGGAGGGAGCTCTTCTAGTTTTGGAAGCAGATCTCCTTGCTTTCGAGGAGAAGACCAATAAGAAGAAGATGGATCTTCTCCGACAGGAACAAGCTTTGTTGCTTTTAAAGCCTTTGTAGCCGAGAAGATATGTGAGCTGAATTTTTCGCAGATTGGAGGTGCACAGTGAAGACATGTGACCATGTGCCAATGTTGCCAGGAAAACAGGGACCTCACTCAGCCCTTAGAGGAGCCTCTACAGACTGAAGTATTCAGACGCAGCTTTGCCACTGCTTAGACAAAGTAGCTGGTCTAAATATCAAGACTATTGCTAGTTAGGAGGCCATTCCAATTAGCAACTCAAAAGAATGTTGCTATTTATCTAAATATAATGAGTTTGGAGGCCATGGCTGGATACCCAATGCTGACAGGACAAGCTGGCAGAACAGAGGGACTTGGAAGAAGAGCTCAAGACGTACACGAAGGACGGTACACACAACGACAACGCCATCGGTTACAACCATCGGTTGTGGATTTGGCCATCCACAAGTGGCTTTGATGCTGCATGCATGGTTTGGAGCATTGTTGTCAGGACAAAATGGCGTTGAAGAATCTAAAGGCGCACTACAAGAGGCTTGAGGCAAGGGAATCATCATCATCGGCATGGGCAGCATGATATCTTGGCATTCCATTTGATCGAAACATAGCTTTGGACGATTCGCAGGAGCAGATCTCTGAAGCCAAGCAGGAATACCGCGCCTGCGAGGTCTGCCAAATAACTGCCAGTTGGGGTGTCCATTCTCCAAAGAAAGCCTTCTCGTTATGTTTATTTCACATGTTCCAGGTTGGAGGCCATAGCTAATGGCCATCGCTAAGAACGTCTTCTCATCTTTTTCTTTGGGAGGACAAATACAGAAAGATGGAGAAGGAGCGGGATGTCGAGCCCTCAGCATTTCTCCAGGATTGCTGAAGTGCCTCCACCTGCTCAGCACACTAGAAGCCGACAACCTAGGAACAGTCTTGTGCTGGTGGCCGAACCAAGGACCTGTACAAGCGCTTCAAGAAAGCAGTGCAGGAGATCCAGAGGAAGGCGCTATTTTCACTACTGTCTCTTTCAGTGCGAACACTCTATTGTCAAGGCAAACAGTATGTACAGCAGGTGGCGAACGCACACAGCAAGCTTATCTTACCTTTACTACGGACTCCCAAGGCAGAGCTGGGCAAGAATATGGTCTTGGAAAAGAAGCTCGAGGAATTGGCACAGCAATTCGAAGAGACGCTTGGCAGCGCTGCGGCTTCGAAGAAAGGAATTCGGAACGGATGTCAAAGGTCCACAGGTCTGGCAAAAGACAAGAAAGAAGTTACTAGTAGCGTCCGATCGCTCCGTTCGTAGCAAGGCGAGGAGCCCCGTTCGTAGCTTCTTGTTACTAGTAGCGATGCCAGGAGCCCCTAGTAGCGTCCTTGTTCCTAGTAAAGAAAGAACAAGTTCTAGCGTGTTCTAACTTCTAACCCAAGGTGTTGAGTGTTGAGCCAGTTGAGTTTCGCCCTCTTCCTTTTTCAAGGAAGCAGGCGCAGCTCTCGGAAGTGCTCGGCAACGCCAAGCTGGATCCCAGCATTGTGGCCAACGTCACCAAGAAGCCAACGTCCCAGCGCATTTTCTCCGGAGAACCTTTTCCTCGATATCGGTAGACCTTGACCTTGGTGACCGCAGGTTGGAGCAGGTGCTGGGTGCCAAGAATCGGCAAATCAAGGACCGTCCAGCAGCAGAAGAGAGAGAGAGAGATCTATGTATATATATATATATGATGTATGCAAAGCAAGGACTAAGGCTAAGGTGCTCTTGTTGCAAAAACAGAAGGCGCCTTCTTGTTACACCACACAGCGAGGGGTAGGTCAGTGCAAGTAAGGCAAACTTTTGTTCACGCAGAAGTTGCGAAAGTTTTGCCATTGCCGAGAAGTGCCTAGTAATGAGAGGTAGTTAAGTGTGCTAAAAAGACATCCTTCCTACTTCTCTAGTAGCTTCTTGTTCCTAGTAGTACGGCCAGGAGCTACTAGTAGCGTCCTTGTTCCTAGTAGTAATGCTCTTTGCCACTAATAGCTTCTTGTTCCTGTAGCCATGCCCTTTGTTACTAGTCGCGAAAGTTTTGCCAGGATCTGCAGTACCAGGCATGGGCGACACTGATGGACACTTCTGGACACCTGTACTTTCACAGAAGCTCTGAGTTGTTTGAAACGACATCTCTTTGTCAGAAATCCCAAACCATTGGTATCCGGTAGCTTGACGAGTCAGGTGTTCAACACTTCCTGGTTACTTCTTAGGACACTTGCAAGGTTAGAGGCCATCGCTAGTAGGTTAAACGCTTGCTGGTTGTTGAGGAGCATGACAAACACCTACCTCCGCTTGCTTGTGCCAGGTGCATCAGGCTACCAAGCAATACAACGACACCATCCGCGTTTACGCCCTGCCCACAGTGAAGTTTACATTCAGACCAGTTCCTAGAGAGGCCCTGATTTGTATCGTATTGTAAAGATGGTGTTTTCGCTTGGACTTGGATGCTTGGAGCCCTGATCGTAGCGTCCGATCGCTCCTAGTAGTGCCAGGAGCCCCGTTCGGTTCGCGTCCGTGCTTGGACTTGGACATCCTAGGAAAGCAAGCTGCAAGGGCTGGGTGTCGAGCCAGAGGAGATCGGCTTCGAGGCCGTGGCCAAGTCGTCTTGATCTGGCGTTCAACAGAGTTCTGAAGTGACTCTCTTGTTTTGCCCAAAAGGAAGTCCAAGCTAGACATAATTGACCATTGAAAGCCCAAATCATGGAAGACTGGAGAATACACTAAGTTTGAATTGCTGGAAGGCCATTCAAACGGCCACATCGTTGATGCCAGCCCGGCTGGTCACAAAGGCCCGTGGGCAGCGTTTTTAGACCTGTGAAGACCTGAAAATCGGCAAAAAGAACAGCTCTGCAACTACTTCTGGAGCTACTAGGGGCTCCTGGTATCGCTACTAGGAGCAAGGACGCTACTAGGGGCTCCTGGTCATACTTCTGGATGTTCAGCTGGGAGTTTCGCGGGGAAGGGCAGGGTTTACACACATGGTGCGAGCTTCGCATCCTCAGGTGAGCTGAGGGCAGAGCCAAACTTTTCAGGTGCCCAAGCTGATATGGAGAAGAAAACGTTTCACTTGAGCAAAACTTTGCTCAATTCGTTATGTCTCACGAAGCGGATGATCGCTACTAGGAGCAAGAGGACGCTACTAGTAGCTCCTGGCCTTACTACTAGGAACAAGACCTCACACCAGACCAAACATCATGCTAAGGCTTTGGAAACTGACGTTCCTACGTTCCTCCGCTTGCATGACCCGGGGTGTGTTCGCTGGTTTCACTCATTGAAAGACCAGCCTCGATGATTTCTTCGTGTCACATATTTGTGTTTCAAACATGGCCCAGGATCAAACATTTCCAGGCAGCTTACCATGAATGACCATCTTCCGACTGACCATCTTAGCGTGTTTTCAGCGCTTCCCTTGTTCGGCACCCATGTACAGAGACACGAACAAGACCACCCCGAAGACGGATGTCGTGAAGGAAAAAAAGCAGCCGCCTGGGTCGTCTGGCGTCTCGTCTCAGTTCGCGATCGTGAACGACTTTGAACAGGGTTAGTCAACTGAGTCAATTGGCAAAAAGACATGCACGGCAACTAACTTCTTCTTCTTCTTCTGTTGCTTCTTCGTTTGCACAACTTGGGTTGCTGAGGTGATGGGCGACTTCACCTTCTATGCATACATGGAGCCCAGCTATTCTGCGACCATGATGGCGTCCTATGTCGAGGCTGCGGAACAAAAACGGCTTCGACTGGATTTGTTTGGAGAACAACAAAGAAGGACGTATCCTTTTTTTCATCCCTTGAACCTTTTCTTATTCCTTTCCTCTTTAGACATTCCTTCCCAACTTTTTGTTCATCCCATGCATTGCCTTTGAGTCGGCAAACGAAGCATGCTGAAGGTGGACCCATCCTCGACCCGTTTGGCTGATGGTCAGGACAGGGCCTCAGACTGCTGTGGACCGAAGTCTTGTGGCACTACCGGTGACGAACGGAACGGAGTGCTTGCAGATTAGGTCGTCCTTGCTCCTAGTAGTAAGGCCAGGAGCCCCTAGTAGCGTCCTTGCTCCAAGTAGCTTCTTGTTCCTAGTAGCTTAGTTGCATTGTTGTTTTGCTTTTACATCACATGGGTCCTGAACGCCCCATCTTCTGAAAGAAGATCGACACGTCTCGCAGGTGGTACCCACAGACGGTGGCCGTTTCCAGGATGCCGGGCAGGCGCTTCTCAAAGCGCAAAGCGTCAATAGTCTGACTTCCTTGCTCCTAGTAGCGATGCCCTTTGTTCCTAGTAGCGTCCTTCGCTCCTAGTAGTAAGGCCAGGAGCCCCGTTCGTAGCGTCCGATCGCTCCGTTCGTAGCAAAAACTGCGAAGAACCTGGAAGTTTTCCATGAAGGTTCTCCATGGAGTCCATTTGGCTCTGAACAGGTCTATTTCAACCACGACACCGTCCTGGACCTGAACAGGCAATACATGTCCTTTGTTTTTAAACAGACACGTTTTGTCACGTTTTTTTGTTAAGTTGTTTTTGTTTCTACTTTGTTTTATATGGTTATTGATTTATGTTGTTTTTGATTAAATGTCCTTCACTTCTACTCCTTTCTCATTTTTATACATTTTCCTTCCGCCAGAGCTCTCCTTCCGTCCCATTTGACTTGTATTTCATCAGGTCCTACAGCTTTAAATTGGCCGATGTGTGAGCCCGGAGACGTCGGAGGCTGTTCGGCTGCCTTGCTTGGAACGACCTCTGGCCCAGGTATTGCGTGGCTCCGATTTGGAACCAGAAATGCCGCCGGGCTTCCGAGATCGGATTGAAAACCATCTCTTCTCAGGGCGTCTCTCAGATCGAGAGCATTTCAACATGTGAACACATCGCTGAGTGAGCTGTTTTGCAGGTGAGCCATGTGGTGCTGACTTCTGGGCCGTGGGGATGCTTCGACTGCAGATTCCGCATGGACGTGAGTTGATCTTTTTTTTGTGTCATATGACATGTGTACTACTGGTAACAAGAAGCTACCAGTAGCAAGGTGCCTTACTCCTGTTGTGACAGTGGACGGATCTGTGGGAGCGATCCAGTTGTCTAAGGAAGAATTGCTGCTCCGAGGACCCACGTGAGTCCAGTGAGTCGAGAGCAAACGAGAACTTTGAAGTCTCAACTCTCAAAAAGAAGTCCGTTCGTAGCGTCCGATCGCTCCTAGTAGTAAGGCCAGGAGCTGCTAGTAGCGTCCGATCGCTCCTAGTAGCGATGCCCTTCGCTCCCAGTAGCGTCTCAACTCTCAAATGCACCTTTGAGTTTTCCCGGACATAGAATCCAGCACTTGAAGCGCAACAGCTCCATTTTGCATTTTTCCCTGATGGGTCAGAATGGCAACGTCTTTCAATGTGGAGATGCTGGGAGCAAGCGAGCAAAGAGCCAAAAGCTCAGAGCCAAAGTGAAAAGGACGAGCAGGGACAATTTGACCTAGGATCAAGGACGCTACTAGGAGCTCCTGGCCATACTACTAGTAGCAAATAGCTACTAGCAACAAAGGGCATCGCTACTAGGAGCAAGAAGCTACTAGGAGCTCCTGGCAGACGAACATCAGCCAAGGCGGATTAAGACTCATGGAGAGCGCAGACCTTCCATTCTACAGGCATCAACAAGCCCATTTCCTTGGATGATTTGCTTCTTTGCATCCGTAATGCATTCCAGAAGCCACTTGCAGGTTGGCCGTGATACAAGCAGTTGGCAAACATAAGGCAAGGGCTTTGAACAGCTAGCCATTTTGCGTGACAACAACAGAACAATTTGTTCCACCATGTGTCTTTCTGTACTTTTTTCTTTCTTCTTTCGTTGTTCTTATTCATATATCTCTTCTCTTTCTCTTGCAAGAGACCGTCTTTGTTTCAGCTGACGGGCAAAATGTGGCTTCTTGAACAGATGGTCAGCCAGCACCCCATCTTCTTTCACTGGTTGGAGGTGCATAGATCAGTCCAATGCGCATCCGATCCAGCGCATTTTCGGTGTACTTGGTATCTTTGCCGTTTTGACAGTGAAGGCATTTTGACAGTTTTCTTAAGAACGCGTTCTGACTTTTCTCAGAGGGTAGTGACTTCCCAAGCATATCAGTATACGCTACTAGGAACAAGTGCCTTACTAGTAGTAACAAGAAGCTATTAGAAACAAGTGCCACGCTAGTAGTAAGGAAGAAACTGGACAAAACACTACTTGCTTTCCATGACCGCGAGGACCCGGTGGCGGAGCTACATGGCTGGCAGAGGAAGGGCTTCAGGTGCTGGAACAACCAACGCGTTCGTTTGAAACGTGCAACATATGATCCTCAGATGCACTTGTTACTAGTAGCGTCTTGTTACTACTAGTAAGGCACTTGTTACTAGTAGCGATGCACTTGTTACTAGTAGCTTCTTGTTACTAGTAGTAAGATGCACTTGCTACTAGTAGCTATGCCCTTGCTGCTAGTAGCGATGCACTTACCGGATTTTGAGCAATGACTGGATTCATGCCTTCGAGATGCCTTCGAGGCTCTTTGCCATTGCTATGACATCAGCGTTCACGCTGAGCGGTGCTGCGTCCACAACTTTGCCAGATGAGTAATGTGCAAAGAATAAGTAAGCTGGTGGGTCGAACTTGTTTTGCCCTGATTGCCAAAACTTTCACGGATAGGGTAAGTTTAGGGTACGTTTCTGGTGTTTGCTGTCTTTTGTGTTGTTTTGACTTTCAGTCAGCTCATTTTTCAACAGCAGGTACCTTTTCTGTATAATGGCCTTTGCTTTTCTTGCAAGCTAAGTAAAGAGGTCCTTTTCTGTTCCTTTCCTTCTTTTTTGAACCTTTCTTTGTCCTTTCTTTTGTTCAAGACACTTTTGGACTTTTGGACAATGCTTTCTGTAGATTGTGTTGTTTGTCCTCCTTGCCTGAGGCTGGCTACGGCGCTGCATGCTATGCATATTGCCATTTGAATGCTTGGAGCATGACTGAGCCCCCAAAAAATGAAGTGCCTGTTCACGGAGGTTCACTGAAAGTCCTCGTGCTTTGACCTTCATTTTTGAAAGCCCGCCTTTTGAAAGCTTTTCTGCAAAATTAATCGAGTCACAAACATCATGCCGCTTCCGTCGCTTTTGCTCTTCCAGATATAAGCGGACGGGACATCCGCTAATGGAGATTGCCAAGCAACTTCGACACATTTGGTCGCTGTTGAATCGAGAACATGAGTTCCTTAGACACTTCAAACTGCTCAGATGGCCAAGAACCAGAAAAAATCAAGAAAACGCAGTGGCATCAAACCACAAAAGCGCGCAGACCAATGCACAACCACTGCTTGCTCAAACACCTACGCTGTGATTTTGCCAGCACAGCCCAGAATTCTTTTTCAGCCATGGAGGATGGGGTTATCGTCGGAACAAGCCATTTTCGTTAAGACACTTGCAGAAAGCTGCGACAAACTTTTGTAAAGGACAAACACAAGCTCTTTGTTGGCAGCTTGCCGTTCCTCGCTCAGAATTTACTTTGCAATCCTACAGATTTTGTTGAAAGTTCGAAGAGGAACCAAAGGAGGACTGTTTCTGGTTAAGCCATGTTTGTGGAGGCCTGACATCACAGATGAGGAAATCACCAGTACCTTCGGAACTTATGGTGCGCCCACAATGGACACAGAAAATCTTATCAATACAGCTGTTTGTTGCTACTAGTAAGGCACTTGTTACTAGTAGCGATGCACTTGTTACTGTAGCTTCTTGTTACTAGTAAGGCACCTGTTCCTAGTAGCGTGGCACCTGTTACTACTAGCATGCCTTGCGTCAGGAAACGTTGTGGAACACCACATCATGAGGGGCAAGTCCACTTCGGGGCAGGCTGCATCTGGGATGAGGGGCATGGACGCAGGGGGAATGGAAGAATCGTCTAGGTTGGAGGCCATTGCTTCTAGGTTGGAGGCCATTGCTTCTAGGTTGGAGGCCATCGCTAGTAGGTTGGAGGCCATTGCTTTAAATCTCTATACTGTATTCATTATATATATATATGAATTGTCTGGAGTCCATGTTGCTTGGTGATCCAGGCTTGTGCCTTTGTGGTGTTGGACAGGCGCCAAATCTCTGAGTTGGCATTTCAGTTTCAGCCCAGCCGACTTACTTTCAGAACTGTTTAGTCTAGTAACAAACAGCTACTTGCAACAAAGGGCATCGCTACGAATGGAGCGATCGGACGCCACGAACGGGGCGCTCCTTTCTCTTAGACTTCGGACCAAAGAGACTGGTCGCTATGGCATAGCTTCTTGTTACTACTAGTAAGGCACTTGTTACTAGTAGCGATGCACTTGTTTCTACTAGCTTCTTGTTACTATGTCACGTTGTGTCGCAGTAAAGCTGCTGGTGACAACGCCATCTCCTCCATGGACAATACCATGCCAGTCCGAGAGGCCGATGACGTTTCTATGAAAGGAAGAAAAACGGAAAGAGACAATGTCTGTTCAAAAAGGACAAAGAAGAAAGACAAGAAACACTGAAGAGAGAGAGGAAGGTCTAGAGAAGAAGCAACATTTCATCTGAAACGTAGTTTTTCCTCTTGTTTTCTTGTTTTCTTTTCGCCTTTAGACGTTCCATTCTTTCTTTCTTTCTTTCTTTCTTTTTTCAAGATTTCAAGAACGCCTTCCGTTGACAAGAACCAGTCTTGTAAGTTTGAGAAGTCGACTTGCAGGGCGGAACTCCGATCCGCGTCTCTTGGGCCAAGAAAGGAGGAGGAGGAGGCTCATATGGAGGAGCGTCGGTTTGCGTTTGCTGTTTGTGCTTTGCAATATGAACAAGCTTCCAATATTAGTAGGAATGACCTCCAACCTATTAGCGATGGCCTCCAACGTACTGTGATGGCCTCCAACCTACTATGTAGCGATGGCCTCCAACCTAGTAGCGTTTAAGTATGAACAGGCTTCCTTTTTGCTTTGTGCTTTGTTGAAGTCTTGGTTAGTCCTTTGCTTCGATTTTTCAGGTGGCTACGGAGGATATGGAGGTTGTGGTGGCTACGGCTGTGGTGGCTGTGGCGGTTGCGGCGGTTACGGCTGTGGTGGATACGGCTGTGGTGGATACGGCTGTGGCTGCGGCAACTACGGTGGCTGCGGTGGAGGTGGTTGTGGCTGTGGTGGATGGGGCGGATGTGGCAAGGGTCAATGGGGCGGCGGCGGCCAGTGGGGCGGCAAAGACGGAGGCAGTGCGAGCGCACATTTGCGCAATCTCTTTTGGCAACATTTGAGCCTAGGGTTACTAGTAGCGTGGCACTTGTTCCTAGTAGCTTCTTGTTACTAGT